GCACCCAGAGGGCCAAACCGGAAGTCAAAGCGGAAGCAGCCCCGTGCAGCCCAGCGCCAGCGGGGAAGCACCTGCACATGCAAATCTCCAGCAGCCGGCGGACGTAGGACCCGTCCCGCCGCGGAGATGAGCCCACTGCGGCTCTGAGGAGGGAGTCACAGCCCGGGGTGCACAGCGAGGTGGGCTCACCCAGACAGGACCCGGGAAGGGCTGAAGGAGCCCCGGAAGATCCGGAAAAGTCTTGGAGGAAGCTCATTCCAGAAGCACTTGTCCTGCCGAGAACAGACATCTTGCGTCTGCCACCTTGCTCTGGCCATCAGCTCCGGGGGGTGCGGGAGCCCAGCAAGGGTCTGGAGCTCCCACCCAGCACCTTGGCCCAGACTCCAGCCCAGACAGTGGAGGCAGTCAGCGGCCCCTCAGGACTTCAGAAGTCATAAAAGCTTCTGGTCTCATGATTTCTCTATTTCTCTATTTATTTACTTATTTTCTTATTTATTTATTGAGATAGGGTCTCGCTATGTTGCCAAGGCTAGAGTGCCATGGCATCAGCCTAGCTCACAGCAACCTCAACCTCCTGGGCTCAAGCGATCCGATCCTCCTGCCTCAGCCTCCCGAGCAGCTGGGACCACAGGCATGCGCCACCATGCCCGGCTAATTTTTCTATTTTTTGTAGAGACAGGACCTCACTACTGCCCAGGCTGGTCTCAAACTCCTGGCCTCAAGTGATCCTCCCTCCTCAGCCTCCCAAAGTGCTAGGATTACAGGTATGAGCCGCCATGCCCAGCCCTCCTTTCAATTTTTAATGCAGCCTGCAACGGCTCTTCCCAAGGAGGCAGACAAAGGCAGTGGCCCTTCTGGGTACCTGCGACCCTCCCCACGGGGGCGGGGTGAGGCTCGCAGCAGAGAATCCAGGGTGGGAGTGTGTGCCCAGCCCTGAGGGAGCACACAGGGCGAGCAGAGGCCAGGGAGGGGACGGCGTTGTGGGGGGCAGGCCTGGTGCCCCCACGGGGGCGTCTGTGTCCTCCAAAGACTCGTCTGCCCGAGTGTGCGCAGTGTGGCTGCAGGTTCCGGGGGAACAGTGAGGGAGCCCCAGGGAGGGGATAAGCAAACGAAGAGGTCTGAAAGTCAGCACCACTGGGCACTACCCTGCCCGGCTCTCTCTGTGCAGCTACTCTGGGGCTGGGAGCCTCTGTTTCACCAGTGACTTCCAAATGTCTCGGGCCCGACCTCCGGAGCCACGTGGCCACAACTGACCGAGTCTTCCTGGAGGTCCCTGGCCTCTCAAACTTGCCACGTCCAGTCCAATCTGGGCCGACCTCCCAAACCTCTCTGCTCCCTTGGGCGCCTCCACGCAGCTGCCTGAGCGCTGGAGACGCCTCACTCACCGCCTGCCCACGGCCTCACCCCCAGGCCCCTCCACGCCGCCTCTTAACCTGCTTAACTCGCATTTCCTGGGCCCCTCCCGTGGTCCATTCCCGTGGGTGTCTCGGTCGGCACCCTTAGCACTGAGTCTGTGCCTTGTGCTCCGTGTCCCCAGCCCCCTGGCAGGTGAGCTCCTTCACAGCTGCCCTGGGGCACAGGGAAGCTCGGCTCACTTCTCTGCTGGTCCGGCCGGGTGACCAGCCTCTCCTGACGTTCTGACCCCAGAGAGCAGAAGACACCAGGGTAGCAGGAACGGAGGACGTCGGTTCGAGTTCAGGCTCTGCAGTCACCTGCTGTGTCCTCTCCAGGGGTGGCCAGCGCAAGGGAGGACCAGCCAAGGTGCCTGTGCGGGGCCCACAGGACCTGAGGGACTTTGAGGCCCATTTCCCTCCCTGCGTGGTGACTTCCTCTTGTGGCAGGGTCCTGGGGCGGCACAGGGCCGTTTCCCCCAGAGCCGTGGGAGGGACACGCACAGGACTCTCCTTCCAGAGGGTTTTCTCTGGCCCTGCGGGAGCGGGGCCAACGCGGGGTCAGGCCGGCCCCGCCCCCGCCCCTGCAGCCGTGTGCAGCCCCTGAGTCAGCGGCCGGCGGGTGCCGTCTGCAGCCGCCCCTTCCGTGCGGTGCAATCTAGGAATGCCTGCCCGTGTCACGGCCTCAGCCTTGATGTCATCTTTCCAAGAGGAGGATGTGCGGCCGCCCACAGACCTCCTCCCCAAACCCGTGGATCTCTGCCCCATGTGTGCCGACCTCAGCACCGTGGCCCCCGCTGCCGCGAGGCTCCCTCCCCGCGGCTCCTGCCTGCACCGGCGCTGTCCTCCCAGGGCCTCGGCCGCTGGCCAGCCATGGGTTACTCGCCCGGCTAGCGGGACCCGGCCGTCAAACGCACATGTGCTGGCCCTCAGCCCTTCTTCCTGCATAAGCCTCCGTGGCCTCGGCCGTCACATGGACATGGGCCCCTCCGGATCTGTGTCCTGCGCCTCTGAGCTCCCGAACTTCCTGTGAGCCCTCAGACCTGATGACCTGCTCCTCTGTTGCCTGGTCCCCGTCTCGGTCACCTGGACAGTGAGCCTGACTCCTCTCACTCACACGCAAAAGCACACTTTGGCGGTGGGGGGAGTCCGCTGATCTCGCTCCCCCGTCAGTGGGGCTGCAAAGCCCAGGAAAGCAGGACCCTGACCGTTTTTCATCATCCTCGCAGCCCCCTCCCTGCTGGGAACCTGGCAGGTGCTCAGTGACATGGGCCGAATGAGTGACTTCCCTACATCGCCAGTCCTTTCTAGTCTATGCCTAACTCTCCCTGGAATGTGCCTCTCTTCATTACGTGCGCTCCCGAAAGCCCGGCCTCTCTGCGCCTGTCCTGTCCTGTCCCCTCCCCTCCCTGTGCCCCACAACCCGACTTGCCACCTGACACCTACCTGCCCCTTCAGCCCGGGCCGGGAGGCAGCGTCTCTGGAGAAGCTCTCTGGTTCCCTGGGCCCCCCAAGCTGGGGGAGGCAGTTCCTTGGGACCCCTCGGCTCTGAGCTCCCCTCCCAGCCTGGCCCACGCCATGGGAGCATCCGCGGCAGCGTCTGCGGGCAAAGGGAAAGCCTCGGGGGCCAGACGTGAGGGACAATGGGAGGGTCCCGTCAACCTTCTCCCCGCACGGGGCCTGGCACAGATTGGAAAGGCTTGTTGAGTAACGTCTGGGCGGTGACGAATCACCTCCAGGGAAGAAAGTGACTTTCCATCCCGGACAACCACGGCGCTCTCTGCCTCCCTGGCCACCAGCGTAGCGGCTGCCTTACGGCTCCTCTCCCCGCCCTCCGGCCTCTGGGGTGCTGCCGACACAGACCCCCGCTCTGTGTGGCCTCAACATGTCACACCGTGTCCCCTTCTCCTTCTGAGAGCTCCTAGAAGGAGGTGAGCACGGGCCTCACGGAAAAGGTGGAGGAAGGGCCGGGATCTGCCCGTGTCATTGTCCCACCCCCAGCCTGGCTACCCAGGAATGTTCCGCCAGGCTCAGAGGGGCAGGGCTGGCCTCACAGCGGGCTCCAGATGCGGGCGGGGACGCCAGGGAGGTCTGCGGGACGTGGGTCTGGCTTCCCCGAGAAACGGCAGCGAAACTCCCACCGCGAAGAAGCTTGCCAGGGCCGGGGCTCCAACCACGGTGCTCGGCCTGACTTCCGCGTGCCCTGGGCGGGCTCACCCACCTGCGCCCAGCGGGATGTTCTTGCCTGTGTCCGAGGCTGCTGGTCTAGGCTGAGTCAAACTCTGGGCCCAGAAGCGTCACACCCAGTGCTGGGAGCTTCTCTGGTATCACAGGGGCAGCTTCGGAGGCCGGGAGCCTTTCGTGAAGCAGGTGGCAGCAACCAGGACCCACATGGCCGTACCTCGTGTAAAGCACCCTGCCCCCAAGACCCAGGCGCAAGCAGAGGTGCTGATCACGCCGGCACACGTCCTCAGACATGTGCACTGGGGGTCCACACGCCTGCGGCCACGGAGCTCCCGGCACGGGGCGGCCTGAGCGAGATCCCTTGTGCAAGACGAACTCATGCTGTCCCCTCCAGACTCCGTTGTGAAAAGCAAACACTTGACCAGGCCCCTCGAGAGCCTGTGGCTTTTTCAGAGAACAACTTCTACTTCCACGGAAAGGACTCTGGAGCTCGCGGGGGGCGGGAGCCGGGGCTGCGTAGGAAAGGAGGCCGGGAAGACCCCTGAAGCTCCCGCTGCCGGCGATAGGAAGGGGGTGGTGCCCGCCCCAGAGGGGCCGCCCTCCCTGCAGAGGGAGGCAAGGATCCTGTGACTACAGGGAAGCGTCACTTAGCCAGGTGGCCCCAGAGCCAGGACTCAAATTCAGGGTCCTGGCTGGCCCCAGCAGAGAGCCCTGACCCACCTCTGCCGCTGCTGAACATGGCTCCGGTCTCACTGGCCGGGAGTGCGCGTGGCTGTCACTCCCTCTGCTCACGGGGCAGGGGTCCCTGGTCGGGCTGCCGGCTGCTCTGGGTCCCTGGTGGGCACCCACTCGAACCGTCACAGGACTGTGACACGTGGCCGGACCCTGCCTAAGTGGACAGCGGGCAGGTGCGCGAGCTCCCCCCGCACGCAGGTCTCCCTCGGTGGCCGGAGAGGAAGGCTCAGGGCGGAGAAGGCGGCCGCTGCAGTTGGAGTTGCGGGGGCTCCGCCTGCTCTCAGGCCTCCCGGGCCTCGGGGAGGGTGGGGAGCGCAGTCCAGCGTCTCCCAAGGCCCCCCAGCCATGCCGGGCCAGGAAGTCCAAGCCGAGCCCAGAGGCCACACAGAGGGCGGGGGCGGCCCGGGGCCACTCGCGCTGCCCAGGGGCGGCCGGAGGGCCTGCAGGAGGCGGCCCCTGGGCTGTGTGTTCATGGAAAGGCTCATTAGCGAAAACCCCCGGCCGACCACCTGGGGGAAAGGCTCCCGTTACCGCGTGTGGCTGATAAGGGCCAGGAGATTCCACAGCTCAGGTAGTTCCCCCGCCCCCCTGGCGTTCTGTGGTCACCATTAATCATTTCCTCTGTGCATATAAGAGCTCTCCTGCCAGTGAGCCCAGCACACAGAGAGAAAGGCTAAAGTTCCCAGGAGGATGTGGCTGCAGAACTTGCTGCTCCTGGGCACTGTGGTCGGCAGCCTCTCCGCGCCCACCCGCCCGCCCGGCACTGCCACCCGGCCCTGGAGGCACGTGGACGCCATCAAGGAGGCCCTGAGCCTGCTGAGCCAGAGCAACAACACCGACGCCGCCGACGCCAGGCTGGTGAGTGAGGGCGCGGGCCCTGCGCGGCCACCTGCTGTCCCTGGGCTGCCCTGCCCGCCAGTAACGTGACACTTCCTTTGCTGCAGAGTGAAGCAGAAGTCGTCTCTGAAACGTTCGACCCCCAGGTAAGACGCTCCCCTCTGACCCGGCACCCAGGAGCCTCTGCCCGTTCTAGATGCCCCCGCAGGGCGTCCACTTCCCCAGCCAGCTGCTGCCAGGAGAAAGGGGCAGCGACTGGGCTCGAGAGGCCGCTGGCCTTGCCCCGTGGCGGTCCCTGAGCAGCCGTGGGCAGACGCCGCGTTCTAGGGCCAGCGGTCACCAGGGGGCGGGTGGTCAAGCGAGGGCCACTTCTGGGGCAGGGGCTGTGGGTTTGGGACACTCACTGTGGCCTGGACCAAGCCCTGTGGAGATAGTGCCAACTACAGACGGGCACAGAGCGGTCTCAGGACAACCCTCGCGATGCCCCGCCCCGCCCCGCCCCTTCTGCCTGGATGGTGGGTGAGCCTGATGTCCTCCCCGTCTCCCAGGGGCTGGGACCCCCTGGAGAGGCGTAGGCGGAGGAGGGCGGACTCAGCCTCAGACTGATCAGGAGTCAGCCTGGGCCTCAGACTGATCAGGAGTCAGCCTGGGCCGCTCCCAGGCCCTGCTCCTGAGGGACGGGGAGGGGAGCAGGGAGGAGTGACGGAGGGTGTCCCGGGCCCACGGAGGGCGCTTGGCCGCAGCTCACCGAGGGACGTCGTGTCTCACAGGAGCCGACGTGCCTGCAGACGCGCCTGGAGCTGTACAAGCGGAGCCTCCGCGGCGGCCTGGCCAGGCTCAGGGGCCCCCTGGCCATGATGGGCAGCCACTACCAGCAGCACTGCCCGCCCACCCCGGTGAGCGCCTCCGCGGCCCCAAGAGGCCGTCTTAGTCAGGAGGGTGGGGCGGGGGGGGGGGAGACCTCTGGCCATGGCGTTCAGGACCCCAGAGGGTCTCCGTGTTAGCAGACGTGTCTGATCAGCCCACCCGGGGGGCGGGCAGCAGCTCCTCCTCCTCCCTGGGAGTAGAAGCCTGGCACTCTGAACCCCACTGCGCTTGCTGTTGTTGTCTTGGTCCCCAACGAGGCCAGCGGTGAGGCAAACCCCAGGAAACTCAGGGCCTGCGCAAGGGCCCGAGGCCACCTCCCGGAAGCACTTTCCCCTGGCCCCACGTGTGTGCCGGATTGCGTGGAAGGGCGGGGCCCTGCCTGGCACGGACGGGCCGGGCGCTCCTTCCCACAGGAAGAGTGAGGTCCGTGGCCCCGACTCCTGCTCCTTCTCGGGCTAGGAGGGGGCCCAGCCCAGCCGCTCTGCCCTGGCCCGCGACCGAAGGGCCGGGTCCAACCCCCGGAAGACCAGTCTCGGGCTGGCACCTGGTCAGGCCCTCGGGCCTGGCAGAGGTGGGCACAGCTTGGGCAACGCATGGCAGCATGGGTGGTGGCAGCGGTGTCACCTGACTGAGGGCAGCCGGCGGCCTCGAATGGCCTCCTGGCCCCCGAGTCTAAGCGGCAGGACAGAAACGCGCAGGTGCTTGCCCCACGCCACCCCCTCGCCTGGACTCAAGTGGTTTTTCTTTTTCTTTTCTTTTTTTTTAAAGGAGACTTCCTGTGAAACCCAGATTATCCCCTTCAAAAGTTTCAAGAAGAACCTGAAGGACTTTCTGTTTGTCGTCCCCTTTGACTGCTGGAAGCCAGTCCAGGAGTGAGGCGGGCCGGGTCGGGCCGTGCACAGCGCTGCTCCCTCCCGGAACGAGCCGGAAACTCAGTGTCTTCATGCCCCAGGGACCAAGCGGTGGCCGCAGCCACGAGGGGGGTGGCCTGGACCTGCCCAGGCCACACCGACCCTGCTAACGGGCCGGGGAGAGAGATGGGGGATGTTTATCCCGGCAGAGATCAGTGATATTTATTTATATATTTATATTTTTAAATATGTATTTATTTATTTATTTATTTAAGCTCAGACTCCGTATTTATTCAAGATGTTTTACTACAATAATAAATTATTACAAGTCTGCTTTTATTTGTGTAGTTTTCTGGTTTATTTTCAACCATGAGCAAATGCTGGTGGGGTCCCACCTCCCGACGGGGGCCGGGAGGGGAGGAAACGGGGAGTCGGGGAGGGGCCGGGGCCTGCGGGGCGGGGCTGTCCCCAGGGCTGGAGCGGAGGGGAGGTGACAGCCAGGCCCCAGGCAGCACTTGGCACACTTGGGTGTGTGTCCCGGGATGTGGAGGGCTCCGACCCCAGAGAAAGGCTTTCGGGCGCACCAGGCGGAGCTTGCCCCGGAGGAGGGGCATCGCCCTTCCTGGGCAGGCCGGGGGCATCTCGGGCTGCACCTTCCACCTGCACCAGGGGAGACGCCTGCGCCCCTCGGCGGCCCGGCCCCTGTGCCGGCGCCCTGCCCCTCACACTCAGGGCTTCAACCGTGACTCAGGTCGATCAGCAAACTAACTGTTCAGGGGAAAAAAACAAACCACAGGGGCAGAGCTCAGCACATTTACCAAACTTTCCCCAAATGGGTGATCTTAATCTCTGAGCGTCAGAATGCAAGTCCATAACTTGCAGGTGCGTGGCTCCAGTGTGGCGTTTTTCTGAACTGCTTTTTAGTTTTACACGAAGTTTCGGATCCGATCAGGCCCTTTCCCCTGAAGTCCACGGCCTTCAGGCCGAGAAAAGAGCAGCCCTCCTCCTCCTCCTCACTTGGACAGTGGAGGCAAAGGCCTCGCTCCTGGACCTGCTCCTCCGTGTCCCTTCCGGGTGTGTGGCGCGTCCCCAGGTCCTAGCTGGCAGCAGGCAGCCTCCCTTGACGGGTGGCCGGAGGAGCTGGTCTGTGCAGCTTTGCCCGTCTGGGGTCCTTCGCAGCCGTGTCCCCCACCCCACCGGTGCCCGTGGACGGCGCAGTCCTGGCCACAGACCTGCCCCACGCTCAGGCAGAAAGGCCATGACTTCGGATCTGATTACAAATAAGACGTCTTGGACTGAGCCTGAATTTCGGCAGAGACCAGAATCCACCCAGTGTGTTGTCGTTGAAAAGGCACGAGAAGCACATCTCGCCCGGCGATAAGGTGGCTCCGCCCTCCTGCGCGCAGCGATGGCTGATAAGGTTTAGCGCTTCCTCCCACTCACGTACACAGGTGCCCCTGCACAGAGATGCTCCACGCCCAGGCGCAGGTCGCTCGAGCCGCCTTGAGGCGCGACCGTGCACCTGCTGTGTGTGCTCCTGGCTTGCGCGCTCTGGGGGCCAGGAAGCCACTCTGCCCCGGTGACGGTAGACACAGCGTCTCCCTATGACAATCACACGGCCATCTGCGCCGAGATCCAGAAGGAGCTGTCGGCCGACAACAACACGTACCAGGTGAGTCCGGGTGCTCATCTGTGTTGTTTTGCTCTCAGTGGCCCTTTGCGTTTCTGACCAACTCCTCTCACCTCCAGGGCTCCTTCAACAGGCCCCAGAACACCACTGAGGTAAGGTGGATTTCCGATCCCATTCGAGCCGGGAGAGAGGGATCGCCCCAGTCGGGCCCAGGGAAGAGATGGGAGGACGGACCCTGGAGTGAGAAATCCGGGAGAAAGCTGCAAGTTTAAGGATGGAGCCTCTGGTTCGGCCGAAAGATGGACCAGCGGCCAGGTCCTGGGCTTTGCCAGGCGCTCTGGCCACCAGCCAAGTGCAGCCCTGGGCCCAGGGACAGACCAGACACCCACAGCCTCCGCTGCGTGGCCCGCAGGCCCACAGGTCTCCGGTGGGAGAACAGGGAAGGACCCGAGCTGGGGTCCAGGGCTCCGTCCGGCCAGGGCGCCCGGGCTGGACGAGGATGAGGTTGAGGGTGAGTCAGCCGGGGCCTGCTGTGCACAGCCACGTCCCTCTGCCCCGTCCTGTTCCAGGAGCTCTGCTACGGGGAGTTTGCAAAGACCTTCACCTCCACCCTGAAGGATCTTGTTACCAAATACGACGAGAAAGACCACCACATGAAAAAGATTTATAAGGACATGGAAGAACTCACCAGGATCTGCCCGAAGCTGACAGTAAGTTGCTGTTCGTTCTTAGGGGACCTGAGACGTCCTTTCTCTGCACCACAGCCAAGGGCCCAGTGGGACAAAGGGCTTTTTTGGGCCCCACCTGCCACGTGCAAGGCCTCACGTGTTACTCTGGGGCCACACGGGTGGCTGTTCCCTGGAACTGTCTCCAGTCCAGCAGAAGTCCACTCACTGGCACGGGGTGCGGTGGGGAGTGGAGAGTCTGGGGTCCTGGGATTTGTGTCCATGTCTCCACCAGGCCCCCTCACAGGGCTCAGGGTGGGGCAGGTCTGGGACAGGTGGGAGCAGGGCTGGTCGCCAACTCAGCCCGGGGAGGGGGACAGGCAGCCGCCCAAGCTTGCTCCAGTGCGCCCATCCCTGGGGCCTCCTCTGGACAGCTGGACCCCCCGGGGGCCCGTGGTGGGGCGTGGGCAGCAGTTTAAGGGACGTGTCTGGAGAGACGACCGTCTTTGCCCACTGCCGGCACAGCCCCGTGTGCGCCCACCCTGCTGTCCTCGTGTCCCTGTCCTGGACAGCATGGGACGCGCCCTCACCCTGCTCCCTCCCCCAGGCTCTGGATGCTTCAGGCTCTGGGCTCACCCTCCCTCGGACCCTTGTAGCTGGAAGGACAAGAGTTTGCTTTTACTTATCCATTTTATTCCGCTGAGAAGACGACTTAAACACGTATTTCTTATTTAGCCAACAGACCCGCCCAAGAACTGTGCCATCGAGCAAAGTGATTTCTCCAAGTTCAAGAAAGCCTTAGAGAGCGTGATCATGTCCATAGAAGGATGGAAATCGTGTAAGAGGATCACGCGCAGCCTCTGGGACCCCATCCTCTCCCGGGGTTAGAGCTGCAGGAAAGGAGATTGGAGGAGCCTCAGGAACAGTTTACTGCCGGGGTGCGGCGGGGCTTTGCTGGCCCTGGGCCTGCAGACAAGGCTGTGGGCGGGTGACGAGGGCGTGGTGCCTCCTAAGGACACATTTCTGTAACTGACACATCTGCTGCCTCAATAAAGCCCAGGGCGTGGGACGCCGGACAGAGCCGTGGCGGGGTCCAGGGTGTGGGACGCCGGACAGAGCCCTGGCGGGGTCCAGGGTGTGGGATGCTAGAGCCTCACGGGGGGGGCCCAGTAGACTGGAAGCGGTGGGGTCATGGCGCCATCACTTGGCTCCTGACCTGGAGGCCCAGGGGTCTCTCAGGAGTGGGGACCCCACCTCGTCTGACCCTCTGCTGCATCTCCAGTGCCGGTGGGCACGCAGTAGAGCTCCCTCTTTTGCGATGCCCCCTTCTCCCCGTGTCCTTCAGAACTCAGACCTCAGATGCTTTCCCAGAACCCCCAGCCCCAGTCAGCACCCGCCCACCCCCAGATCCAAGACCCAGGCTCAGAGCCCTCCCCGCTTTGTTCTCTGCTGGGCTCCTGGGGGTTCTAAATCTGGTCCACCCCCGCCCAGCCCCCCAGGCCCAGTGTGGTGCCCAGAAGTGTCAGCCTGGCAAAGGGCTCAGGCAGATGGGGGCTCCCAGGCTGCTCGCAGAGGACTGGGCATAGTGGGGACCTGGGCAGGACAGGGACATCTCTAAACCCCGGCTTCATCTGGACCAACAAAGAGTCATCTGACCTCAAAGTCAAACCTCTCGCCTGGCTGCGAATCCCCTTCGCGCATCCACCCGTGTCTCTGTGGCATGGCAGCCCCCTGACTGTAGCACCCTCATACCCCAGAGCTCTGGGCTCGGGGGCGCATCTGCGGGTTCCTTGCATCCTACAGGGCTGCCAGACTGGCCTGCCGAGCCCCGACCCCCTCCTCTATCCTCACCCTAACCCTAGCCATTCAAAGAGTTTATTGGAGGTGACTGGAATTATCCCACAATCCAAATGGCTTCCTACAATCCAAACCCCTCAGACTGTGAGCTTCTTCAAAGCAGGACAGATAAAGACCTATTTGTTCTGGAATATAATTAGGTATCAAGCTGCAACCACGACTTGGCCCCGGCCAGACCCTCAGGGCGTCTGCACGGCCTGCCCCCCGGCTGACCTTGCCCAGGTGGAAGGCTGATGGAAGGCTCCGGAGGGTGCCTGCGGCCACACAGACCAGCCTCAGACTGCCCACCCCGTCCCTTGCCCCAGGATCCCCAGGCCACCTGGGGGACATATCAGGCCAGAGGTCAGCAAGTGAGCCTGAGCAAGGGTGACAAACTATCTCAGAACATGGAGGGGAGCCCTTGCTCAGGACCGAGTGTCAGCGGCTGGCCCAGGGCCAGGGCCATGGTGGTTTCAGCCCAGAGAAAGCCCGTGGTCCGGTCACCAGAGGCCGTGAGCGCTCATCCCGCGGGAGCACCTCTTGTTCTCCTTCCAGGCAGGCTCACACCTGGCCATGGTGCTGGGGGGCTGCTGGGCTGGAGCTCTGGGCGGGATCCCTGGGCCCAGGAAGCGTGGCCTTGACCCCCAGTTGGCTGGGACTGGCCCTGGGCACCCCCTTTCTCTAGAAGGCCAGGGGACAGGCCCAAACTATAACCTCCACTGGTGACAACCGCAGGCAGGCCCGGCCCTGAGCAAATGCTCTTGGCTTCGCTGGGCCCGTCTCCAGACCCGGAGGGAGCACAGGGCCGGTGGCCCGAGGCGACAGGCTCCTCCGCACATCAAGATCTCCAAGGAGAACGCAATCGTCCCCACTTCCCAGGGCCTTCCGAGGGAC